CCACTTTCGTTGCTTCCTGTCCAAACATTGATCAGTGTGCTCCCTGTATCTAACAATGTTTTTGATTACATTCCTCTAATGGTTTGCAGAAAATCCAACACAGTGGCAAACTTTATGATGTTGTATGTGTCCAGATTGTAGTGAATGGCACTAAATCTATACAGATGGCATTTTGTATCTACAAAGGGGGGATGTAGCATTGGACACACACACACACACCAGTCATTATCCTTGCCTTAACCTCTAAGTTACATATTATGACCTAAAACTGCAAGCTGTTGTCTATCATCTTTTTTTTTCCTTTAGGAAAGGCATAAAATCACATGATAGGTCACTGTGCCAACCAGACATGGGAGATCACAGAGGAGGTATAATCTTGGTTCTCCAACAAGACCAATTTGTAGAGATACAGTATGATATTGCGTATCACATGCCTATGTTTGCTCCCCACAGCATGAACCATCTTTTTATTTATTTATTTCACTGTGCTCTATATTGGTTTAGAGTTCTGTCTTTTAAAAATCTTTTAAATTACCTAAAGCCAATTTAATTAGTGATTAAGATATCAGATTAGAAATTGGGAAAGCCCTTTTTCCCAACCAGGTGAGATTCAATAATTTCTAACTAAAAAGAAAAAAAAATATCCAGGTTTGCATAAGGAAAGTTAATGCTGATTCCTGTATATTAAAAATTATCTTTTTAAAAACGAACCTTTTTAAAGCACTTATGGTACATCCCTGAAAAAGCAGTAGCCTCTTTGCCCACTCAGGGAAGGAAAGGAGATTACAAGACATTAAAATCATGCAGCAAACCATCACTACATTATCTTAATGCAGTCATGGAGTTTTCTTAATATTCTGTATTAGCCCAGATTTAAAGTTACCTGCATTCTGTGCTGAGATCCTATATTTTAGTTGTGAGTGGATCTCCCATTTATTCAGCAGTTGATTTTGAATTACTTGAATTGATGTTTTGCAAATGTGTTTGGGAAGGGATACATTATACATTTGGATAGTTAATTAATATTTATTTCAACAGTGTTGGATACAGTTGGCTGGGGAAAGCATATTACTAAACAAGAAAAAAAATTACAAAGAAAAAAGTGTAGGAAAGTACTCAGAGACTATGAGATGTAAAGAAAATTAATACCAGCAGAATAGTCAGACTGAAGTTCCATGTAAATAAATGTCCAAATATATCTCCTGTTAAATTGTATTGTTAGTTCTCTCAAAGTAATATTTATGCTTCTGTCTCTGTCCACTTACTAGTATATCTTTGCATTATTGTCTATTTAAAAAGATTAAAATATATTTTTATTTAAACAACAAATATTAAATACATTCCTGATTTTTTCCCTTTTTCCCACTGAAATCATTCTCTCTCTTTTTGTAAATATTTCATTAATTTCTAGTTTTACAATCATAAGTACTTAATAAACAATTCAGTGTCAGGGTTCCTTTATCATTCAGTGGTATATATTAACTTTCACTCAAAATATCCAATACTACACCAACCAGTATTTCCCTGATCCTCTCTTCTTCCAATAATAATCATTTTCCCCATTATGCAAGTATAATTCTTACTGCTATTAATACCTATACAATTAAATATAAACGTCTTCATCACTTTTCTGTTATAGTGTCAATAATATCAGTTTATAATATCTTCTGTAGCCAAAACATATCTCAAATGTATTTGCAATCAGAGTTCCCTTATTCAATCCGTATCCTATTTTTTTTTCAATTTTAATTTCCCATCAATATTCAAAATAACTTTATCAATTATCATTTTTCTTATAATTAATATTTGGGTAACTAAAAGCTTTCCTTATACCAACCCTCTTAGTATTTTCATATTTCCCATCTTATATAAAATTATGTTATCCTAGTTACAAATCATACCCTTCTATTTTATAATGATCCTTTTATTTCTAACAATTGTCTATTCTTTTAATCACGTTCAAACATCCATTAGATGGTATAATACCTCATCTAATTAGTCAGGACCTCTTATTTTCTTCAGTCTTACTCTAGCTTTCTTCCTTTGCTAAGTAACTTTGCAAGTCAGTACATTTAAGTCACCCAGTATTTCTTCTTCTGTTTCCGTATATATTATTTGGAATAAAAAGACAATTTAATTAAAGTTTTTTTGTAAAAACGCTTAATCCATTTATATTCGTTTAACAGCCTCCATTTTCTTTCTCCTTTAGTTTCTTGTTCCCCAGTTTTCAGCATTTTTCCTAACAGCTCTGTCATCCATTCTATCAATTCTTCTTTCTTGTCCTCAAATATGATCTGAAGTCTTGAAAAGTAAAATGTCTTTCCCATTTCCGGTGTTATATCTGGGCCTTCCAAATTTTTATTTGTCTGCACCTGTCTGTTGATTTCTTCTTTCGAATCCTCTATCTTTATGTCAGTTTTCTCTATTTTTTCCTCTGGTTTCTCAGTTTCTAGTTCATTCTTTATGGTCATTTTCTGAATGTTTTTTGCTTGTAAGTTTAAGTTGGAGAGTTGCTTGTTTATGTTATTTAAATTATTTTTAGTCTCCTCATAATTTAAAACAATTGTTTCTTGAATTGATTTTAACATGGAAAAAATTTCTTTCTGGAGTCCATTTACATTTTCTTGTTGAGTATCCATGTTTCTTCCAAACAGATATAGTCCAGAAGAAACATTCCTACTGTTTCTTAATATTTCTTGATAATTCTTGAAACTAAAAATCAGTCAATATTTGTAATCCAGGCCAGCCAATTTAGAATGGTTTATTGTCTCCTTTGTACAGATAAGGATTTTTTTTTTCCCTTTTCCCAGCTGCAGTCTGCAAAAGTGAAAGTTTCCAGGAACAACAAAGAGCCGTATCTATGTCCGGGCTTCGTGCCAAATTTTCTTTAAGCATAATAAATTGTAATGCCAAGGTTCACCACTAGATGTTGCTAACATCTATCTTCCAGTTTTTAAATCCAAACCTATTTCACGAACATTCCAAATATCTTTTCAAATATAAAGTCTTTAAAATATTTTTAGTCCCCAAATTTGTCAAAGCTATGTCTCTATATTAAATCTTGTAGTTTTCTCTAATTTCCCCCCAAAGAAAGTTATTCGCCACTTTTTTCCTAATAGAATGGGATGGAAATTCCCCTTCTCTCTATCATCTGGGGGATTCTTTGCTTTGGGAGTTCTTTTTTCCAGGAAAAGGTTTTAAAGTTATAAAGAGGGGATTGTTCTCACCCAGTTCCATCCGTGTTTAGAAGTTGCTAGTTAGTGCTTATCTTGGGTTGTTGATGGCTTCTGGCTGGCCACATAAATGCAGCCAGTCTTTCTTCTGCCAGTTTGAATGGCTTCCTCGGATCAAATGGAAGGGTTGCCGCCCCTCCACGATTGACGAGGGTCCCCTTCTTCTTGGTCACCTCTCCAGGGTAATTTTAGACCCTTTTTAGAGTCCCCAGCAGAGCGAAATCGGATGTGGAAAACGGAGTGTTTTCCTGCACCTGTCACACCACGTTATCTAACCCGGAAGTCCCCACTGAAACCATTCTCAATCGGCACATAGCTTCTGATTAGGAAAAGGCTTTTACAAAAGAGGAACCAGGACACAACTATTTAGTTACAAACACACACTAGTGACCAAATCCTTCTAATGAAATAATTCAAAGAGGATGTAGCAACTTTATGGAGTAGAAGAGCCACAAGATCAATTCCTCCCAATGAAGTGAAACAGAGGAAAATGAACATGCCGATTTTAAATCAACATTCAAAAAGAATCATGCTTACAATTACCTATGGAAATAGTATTACAATATAAAACTCCAGTGTTGACTATCAAGAGGGCCTGAATTTATAATGATGGCCTCATTTACATTGGAAAGGATACGTCAGTGAAAGCCCAAACTGGACCCAGATTGTTGGGGGCAGTATGTTGACTCTGTAAACCACTTAAGAGAGTGCTATTAAGCACCATGAAGTGATATATAAGTCTAAGTGCTATTGCTGTTTTAATCTAACAGAGAGGTTGTTATATTGTACTACTACCTTTGCATTGAAAAAGTTGGAGGTCATTTTTGTTTTATATTTTTGGTGTATTTTGTCATTTTTTAATGTTTTATTATTCCCTTTCCGTTTTCCTCCTTATATTAGTTTATATTTTAATGTTTATGAAATATAATAAAGATATTTGTAAAAAAAAAAGACAACTTACTAGGCTGATTTCTAACAAGCCTCAGACAAAAGATGTGGTTTTTTTTCCCCAAGGCATTAAGTGAATGGGCAGAATCCAGTAACAATAACAGCCATCCAATTCATCTAGAACAGTAGGGAAGCTGAATAGCTAAAACCTTCCTTCCATTAGATTATTTGAATGAACTTGATAAATACAGCTGTTTACACATTACAATAAGTTAATTTCTCCTACAGAACATCCTTCCAACATCTCCTGCCAAGTAAGTGATGTGTGTTTAAACACTGACAAGCAGCCTGCATGCACTGATGAATTTCCTCTTAACACACCTCCTTAATTCATCAGATTTATATCTTGACTTTCCTTCAAGCAAGACAGCATACATATCACTCCCTCATCTAATTTTCCACCACAACCACCCTATGAATTAGAGTTGCTCTGGAATCAGGCAGCCTTAAATCTAACAAATGAATGAATGAATGGGTTGACATCACAATCAACCCAAAGCTACTTGGTGAGCTTCCATGGTTGAAGGTGGACTTTGAGTCTAATTTAACAGCTGAAGAACTACACTGCACTATGCACCATGTTCTTTTCAGATCCAAGGTGGAAAAAATAGCCACGTGAAATATTTACAGAACATTGGGTTGATTTTACTTTCTAAAATACCCCAAACACAAGTATGGGTAGATTTGGACACTGTACTTGGTGATATATCCATCAGTGAAAAAAAAGCTATTTTACCAGGAAATAGCCTTTTTATCCTTTTCTATCAGAAATCAAAATAAAGATTAGATCTTTAAAAAAAAGTTACAGGAGAGAAAACAGAAATATCAAGGGCATTTTATTACATATAAAACTTATTAAAATAATTCTAATTAATACTGAACAGGGAGATTTTAATGAGTTTTTTTCTTTTTCGCTGGAATGGGACTTTTCTTTGCAGGTTTGCTTTGAGTTTTTGGCTCGTACAGTGCATGTCGTAAAAATCTTGATGCCGCGCCTTTATCCAGCCTGGCAGCTTTTTTCTTTTCTTCAATCTCTTTCACTCTGTTCATGTATGTTCTTATTCTCTCCTGAAACACATGAAAATATAAAAAGTACATTTCCGGTCATATCAAAAAGACCAAATATATTTTCAAACTCAAGTCAGCTGAAAAAAAGGCCAACAGTGACGGTATTGAGACACTCGAGCAGTATTTCAAAATACAGTGGAGAGTTTTGAATATTGAGCAAGTATTATCAGGGACACATACAAAATCCAAGGAAGATGCCCTTTTCCTGGAGGAAGATGCATGAGGAGGTTTCACAATGATGAACAACTCTCTGGATGAGCCCATATCCAAAGCAATCTCCTAGGCAGTACTACCTGACATGTGTCTTATGTTATTGAACTACTCTTTTTCTTTCAGATCACCCAAATCTCAAACGTTATTGCTCATGTAACAGATAGGAAGACCATTTGACTCTGTGTTTCCTTCAATTGAAGTTGGCCAAAATGATCAAAAGGCAAGTTTTAAAACAGACATGTCAAACTCGCGACATCACGTGACATCGCGCAACATATCGGAGCTTTTTCGCCATTGCTGGCAATGAGGTGGGCGTGGTTTCCTGATGACGCGTCCGGCCCATGGGCCGGCAGTTTGACACCCGTTTTAAAACTACCAACCAAATCAAATTGTTATAACCTAAGCAAATATGACCTCCCATATGCAAGAATCAGTTGTTCCCAATTCCAAAGAAGAGGTTTAATTTTAATCCTAATAAAGTGTAGTTTGTATAAAAATTCTCATATACTCATACACCTTACAGAACAATCACTGTTTTATATCTTAAGCTCTTCTACAAGATTACAAGAGAATGTGTGTGTGTGTGTGTGAATTAATGAAAAAATGGATTTGGACATCACAGAGCACTTGAGAATATCAATCTACTGAGCACCTATTACAAAGCATGAAGTTGCAAATCTGAAGGAAGCAAAACTGCTAAAAAGTGCCTTGCTCCAAATCTATTGTGTAATTACATTTAGCATCTGTATACTGAAAAAAAGATATTGTATTGCTAAAAAAGACATGCAAAACCTCCCATGATCAAGGAATTGGAGCAACTGTCCTGAAATAAAAGGTTAAAAGTAAGGCTTCCTAGCTTAGAAAAAATGCAAAATAGAGGGTAAAAATTATATCTGGGGTGAATCATTAAGGTAGTTTTTCTTTTTTTCCCCCTCCTCTTTTCTTAACAGAACAAATGAGTATTGTTTAACAAATAACGGGAAATTCAGGTTGGATTAAAAAAAAAGTACTATACATAGTACTTTCTTGACATGTAAAATTTGCAAAAGGTGTAGTGAAGATAATACCAACATTAAAAGGAAAGAGAAGAGGGAAACCACAGCAAGGTGGATGGGCTCAATAACAATGGATATACCACCAGGAGTCTTGAAGGGACAGGTTGGGGACAGATCATTTTGGAGTCTACCAGCATGATTGCTAAGAATGACATTGAAATAATCAGTCAATCAGTTAACTGATCAATGGCTCCTTGCCACATACAAAAACTATGTAATGTTCCACTATCTCGCTTGCTGAATGGCATTAAGTAGGAAGGGCATTCCTGCCCTGCTTGTGAGCCTCCCTTTAGCATCTGGATGGCCATTCCAGAATCAGAATGTACTTTTGGTGAGCCATCACGGGTCTTCTTATGGTATGCTAGCATGGCTGAAGTGTTGCTAAGGGTCTTATGATGGAGGTAACAGAAGCAGCAGCCCTATAGGTAAGCTGCTGTGTGCAGTATGAAGCAGTGTGGCCCAGACAAAATAAATCCAAGAGAACTCTGCTTCTTTTGACAATTGTATGTCTTAAGACTACTAAACAGTATTCTACGGAATAGGAAAACAGCTTTGACTTCTGTTTTGGCCTCAGTTAATTTCCCCATGCTCTCGGCCATCATTTTTGCCCCAAGGCCAGACTTCTGAGGTAGCCCTCAGCATCTCAGAAAAGGATTATTTTTGGAGCTGGGAAAGAAATGGGAGATTTTTCTTCCACTAGAAAAGTAGGGCCAACATTTAATTTGATTCATACCGCGTCCTTCAACTCTACTTTATCTCAATCATTCTGTCAGGATATAAGAAAGAGTATGATAGGAAGTAGAACTGCACCACTAGCTGCTATATAAAAAAAACCACCAGAATTGTTGGCTCCTTTTCTTCCTTTCCAGCTAGCTGTGAAAGATGACTAAGAACTTCCAGTTGTGTTATACCTGGTTATTACAAAATGGATATAAAATTAAAAACTGCTGCCTCAGTAATCTTGCTTTCTGTTCCCTTCCCTTCCAATTCTTCCTTTTATTTCATCCCTTTTTAGATTTAGGGGAAGGACTCCTGAATTATCAGTAACTTAGTTTGGGAGCCTTTCTGACAAAGGAATGATGTATAAATTATAATTTTAACTCTTTGATCCAAGTCACCAGCATTCATCCCCTTAACAGAGGAATTCCACATTTCTGTAAATGTTTTAATATCAAATAAAATCTTCATCTTCTAGTTCCCCTTCCCCAATACACACACACACACACACACACACACACACATGATAAATGTAAACTGATGGATTAATTATAGTTTCCTTTTTAAGGGAATTTAGAGATTGCTAAATGCAATCACTCAATTGTTGCAACTCTCCCTGGAAAATTAAGTGATTTCCATTCATTCAGTCAAGGCAATTGCTTTATTTTAAGTTTGTCTGCTACCAAATCTTAGTACTACTGCCTTTTGAGAAAATGTGTAAATTAATTTTGACAAAATTACTTGTAAAAGCACTTTCTTTTAACACAATCGTTTATGTTAAAATTACCTAAATAAAGATTTCAAAACTCAACCAAATCGTCTGAATTCCATTTCATTTGTTATTCTAATGACACATTAATAAAATAACAGAATAAGGCAGGAATGTTCATCAGTCAGGCAATACTGCATCCTGCAATATCACTGCAAAGGTTGTTTATTATTATATTGCTTTTAACGTTTATAATGTTTAATTATAATATTACTGCAAAAGTCCTCATTTAGCAACTGCCTTGTTTAGTGGTCATTCACAATTAAGATGGTCATTAAAGAGCCCTTTTTCTTAGCGACCACTTCATTTAACAACTAATTTTCTTGTCCCTACTGTAGTCACTAGATGAGCACTAGCTATAGCACTTTTAAAGAATGGATCCTGGTCCAGAAGGGAACTGTAGGAAAAGTAATTCATATTCTACTCTGGGCACCAAAAGAACACTGAATTTATCAAATAACTGTCTCAAATTAGGGGTATACAAAGGCACTAGATTTCATTAATGATTTGATCTATCAGACTTCAGAAAAGAGATCGGAAATCTACACTGTTCAATGCCCTCCACAACTATGGAAGCCATTGATCAGGAGAGAATGCAAGTCTAAGGCTGGTTTCATTTTTCATACTAAGGAATGATTTATTTTGGATTAGGTTGTGTGAATCCAACCCTGGTATCTTATTCAATAAAATGTGGACAAGTGCAACATTCAAACCTAACCAATATGTTAGTGACTACCTTCACACTTAATCCTAAATCACAATTTATTGTTATTTGGGTAAGCCTCTATAAGCCTAGCCAAATAGGCAGGCCTTGCATTTCTGTATTGTCATTATAACACCAACTCAGTCACTAAATATATCACAAAACGTTTGGCTTAACTCATAGACTGTTTAACTGAACAAATCAGAGTCTGATTTATAGCATGGCTCTTGGTTCATATATAAATAACATATCAAGATTAGTCTTCTTTCTTGTTGCAAGGGGGAGTACAAATCAAGGCTTGCACAGACTTGCACACATGGTCCTAAATGATGTCTTAGTATTATGTAGCAACCAGTTCAATATCCCTCCCCCCCCCAAAAAAAAAGCCAGTAAGAAATGATCTGCAGAACAAATTCTCAGGCAACATGAAATAACTATTTCACTGAAAAGATACTTTTCTCTCCAGGCACATGAAAAGTCAGTTCTCAGTATCAAGCTACCAGTAATAGCAAAATAAAAGAGAGAGCTGACTGATCTTTTAGATGCAAGAAATGGACATCAAACTGAGCTTTAGAAGGAAATAATATCCATTTCACACTGCATTATGTTATAAAGTCTGTAAGAAATTAAGAGAAGCTGAAAATAACTGCTTTCCTCTTGGGAAGTTCAAGATAACAGGAAATATAACAGTGATTGAGCTTTTCAACATTCATTATATTTACTGTACTGGATATTTACTAACATGACATACTTTTCATACTGATGCGACCTGGGAAGGAGTTAAAAAAAATTGAGTGGCAATTTGGTCAATCTTGAGCAAAAAGCAGTTTTGCTTTAAAAAAAAGCAACGTACAGCCACAAACCAATATGTATATACTGTATGTATATACCTACATTTCCCTATGAATTTTATTTTGTAATTAATTTTATTTATTACCTGTATTTGTAGTTATTATTTTATTGTATTAACAACACGGCATATCTGGATAAGTCTAATATATAGAACGTAACAATTCTGGTAGCCAACTGTAGATTTGATCTGTAGTTTTTCTATCTGCCAAGCTAAATCATTTGATCTGTTTCTTCAAGTCAGCAGAATTTCTAAGATACCCAGTCTTATACATTCTGCTCATGCTTCTAAATGGATTATAAGACAAACCTAAAAGATTTATTATAGGCAGTAAATATGTCACTAATGCAGAATTACTGGACAGAACACATATAACTGGTGCCAAAAAAGCTTTTAGCTTTGTTGCTGAACTGGATTCTTTACTGCTGAGAAAATGAATTAATGGAGGGATTGGAGTAAGGGAGGAGGGAATCTTTCCCGTCTTTGCTAGTAAATCAAACACATGATACTTTTAAAGTCAGGCAGGAGTAAGAAAAGGTAGCCTTAGAGATTAACACGAGTCCAAGTATTTATAGGAAAACATACTGTACTGGAAGTTATAAATAATTATTAGACACGTAACATTTTTCCACTCCGTAAGGAAAGAGTTGGTTGGCACAAAATTCATTTTTTTAAAAAAAAATGAAAAAGAGGGAAAGGATCATCTTATTTGAGAACTGAACTGAGATCAAAACATCTACTTTGAAAATGACAATATCATTTTGAGCAAAAACTATGCCTGGGTATTCAAGGTTTTGCAAGGTAAGCAAATGAGATGAAGAACAGATTAGATCCTATGGCAGCTTTGTCTCAGGGCTATGATATCTGGTTTGCAAAACAGTGGATAACCAGCGAAAGGGCAACAAAGAAATACCGAAAGTCCTTTTTGCTGCCACCTAGAGGTCATTAAGATTTTTACAACCCAGATATACAGTAGTAGCCCAGCTTTTTTTTTTTTTTTTTGCTACAGGAACATTTGCAACAAAGTGATCCCTCAAACAAACCGCGGAAGTTGTGATTCCCCACTTGCAGCAGAAGTGAAGCAATTCATCTCTGTTCTCCACCATGCATATGGAAGGCTTACACCAGGGGTAGTCAACCTTGGCTCTTTTATGACTCGTGGACTTCAACTCCCAGAATTCCTGAGCCAGCTAAGCTAAGCTGGCTCAGGAATTCTGGGAGTTGAAGTCCACGAGTCATAAAAGAGCCAAGGTTGACTACCCCTGGCTTACACTAAGTGAGACACAGGCTTGTTGTTCTCCAGTGCTGCTCTGTTACCTTCACTTTTTTTCCCCTGTCAAAATACTGACTGGCAGTTAAACCAAACAGGCTGTTTACAATAATCACCCCCTTTAGAAAACAATATGAGAAAACTGTACTGCAGTGTTTTCTTACACTGACAATTATATGCTTCATGGAAAAAGCAGAAGGAAAACTGTGTTGGTGATGTGCAATGATCAATATTTAACTCAATTATGCTTCGTTTGGAATTCACAAAATTTCTGCAAACCATTTTCTCAACACGAGAAGAATTTTGCACGGTAGCGAACATAAGAAACTTACCAATTCCTGTTTGACTGGATGTTCCTTTGGATTTATTCCTTGTGTAGCAAGGTACACTGCAAAGTGAACGTATTGTTACCAGAGTTAATTAGAAAGATGTAGCAGTATATTCTTCACTGTGTATTTAAAATACAGGAATACATTATCACTTGCATGACTGGAAAAGTCCTTTGCCAAATCCTTAACAATCAAAATGTAAAATGTTTAAGACTTGGGAAAAGGGTATATTTTGGTGTTACAAAACTAAGTGCAGGTGAAAGTGCAAGTAGCTACACAAGAAATAGTTTACTTGCTTGCTTATTTATTTATCTGCTAACCTCTCACACAAGTAGCTACACAAAATAGTTTGATATTTAATTGCTAAGCTATCACTTAGTTCCAGAGATTCAGGCAGTTGACATTCCAACAAAACTCATAAAATAACATAAATATCAGAATAACAATATAAACATAATGAAAAGGGGGAATTAAAACTCATATAGGCAATGCTTTTTTTGTAAAAAAAAAAAGAAAAAAAAAAGGTGCCGGAACTCACACACGTCATACAACCCGCCTTGCCTACCCTACAAGGTTCCATCCAAAAAAGGTGCCGGAACTCCATTCTGGGCGTTCTATGAGAAAAAAAGCCCTGCGTATAGGTATTAGAGACCATTAATGTTTAAATATGCCAGTAGATGCAGATTCATCTGTATGTATTTCTTACTCTGCATACTTACCCCAAAACATTGAATTCAGTGTATAAGCAGAGACCAAATCTATTTTGGCTTGTTCAAGAGGATCTAGCTAAAATGAGAAAGATAAAATAACCTTCAAAACAGTTTATCATGCACGAAACATCAGATGACACTGGCACTGATGAAAATTACTGTCAATGCCTTTCCTTCCACAATGTGAAGCTAGATGGACAATAGCACTTTGCTGAACAAATGAGTTAACAAGTCTTTAAAAAAGATTCAGACAGGGAATCCCTACCTGTAATTCAGTCTTTTATCCATTATGCAGCCCTTATTCTCACCTAAAATAGAGAATGTGTTCTTTCTTGAAAAATGAGAGTACCATTATCTGTTTGAGTTGCTTTCTCTCCTCCAAGGCCTTCTAGGTGTGCTGGATATGAACTCACATAGCCCATCAGCCAGCTAAGGAATTATGGGAATAAAGTCAAGAACCTCTGGTGGGCACTGCTTAGGGGACCCTGCTCTAGGCACTTGCCACTTGTCATTTTTTGCACAATGCATGACTCTAAAATATCATGACCGCACATTAAAAGGCAAAAAGAGTTTAGGCTGCCAATGCCAATCTATCATTTTGTTCCTCTAGGTCTGCTAAAAACACAGGCTACAAGTTTGAACAGGGAACCTGTCAAAGGGCTGTATTGTAAAGCTGTTGTGCTCATAATTTATTTTTGACTGAAAGGCTGAAGACTTCAGGGGTGAAATTTCCTGATATATGAGCTCTTATTTTGCCCCAAAGAAACTACAAATTGGATGTACATAGGTACTTGCACAAAGAACTCAGGCAGCATCTTGTGCTGTTGCTTCAGGTTTAAAAAAGGGAACAAAGGATGCCTTATATATTCCTTTACTTCTTAAAAAAAAAACTTTCCCTGATACGTAGCAAAAATCCATCTAAATCAAACATTTTTGGACTTTCCATACCAGAACTCCCTTCTAGAGGCAAGGAAAGCAAGCAATATATTTTGCTTTTTAGTCACTGTGCATAACCCACTCAAGTGTTAAGAAAGCAATGAACCCTGTAATTTTTATTTATTCTTCTAAATCTCTGTAACTGCCATTCCAACTGGCACCATCCAGATATATTGTTCTACAGCTCCAACCCATCCATCAGCATGGATAACAAAGAATTATAACGATAATAATCAAACAAATATGCCTATGTCAGGGGTGTCAAACTCAATTTCACTGAGGGCCACATCAGCATTGCGGTTGCCCTTGGGGGGGGCAGGTGGGTGTGGCCAGAGTGGGTGCAGCCTACTGGGTGGGTGTGGATGGAGTGGATGTGGCCTACTGGGTGGGCGTGGCCAGTTCTACATCATTCGCATCAAGGGTGCCTGTGGGGGCGTGGGCAGGAGTGGGACAGATCTGAGGGTCTCTGGCAGAAGGGGGTGGGACCGGGGCAAGTGCCAAGGCATGTTCCACCGGGGCAAGTGCCAAGATGGCCACCACAAAATTGTACATTGGCTCCCGGCTGGCCTGGGCCAGGGCCAAGGCAGCGGGGGCCATTCCCTCACTGTTTCCAGGATGGCTTTGCGGCCCACATGAAACCACTTCGCGGGCCGCATCCAGCCCCCGGGCCTTGTGTTTGACATGTCTGGCCTATGTGCAGAAAGTCAAACTGGAGTGTCTCTCCAGTCAAGCTCACCAAGGGAGCAAGCAAAAATTAAACAGCAGCAAAAGGTTTCTTGCTCTCATCCTCTTCTTACCTTCTGGAGGAGCTCACTTCTGGATACAGACATCATTGTCTTCAACACTGCATCTACTGAGCCAACAGCTGTTTCAAAGGCTGAAAGGTAATCATGAATCTCTGTGGGGTAGTCTTCTTCGGCAGGATCCATTTTCAAGATGACACTCACTACGTGAAAAGGTACCAAGAAATAAATAAGAAAACAAAGACTGTTCACAAATGGTGCCAAACCATACTGAATAGGCCACAACTGTCTGGATTCACACATGCTAAACTACAGAACCAATGTAGCTTAGCACAATATAAAATACCAGCTATATACCGTTTGTGAAGTAGCAAAACAGGCTTACATGGTATTAAGGCTACCACTCCTCCTAACTGCAAATCAAACATACATAAGAGAAGTTTTGGACCCTTCAAAGAAGGGTAGTAGAGGTGGTCCTCAACTTACAACAGTTCATTTAATGACCGTTCGAAGTTACAATGGCACTGAAAAAAGTGACTTCTGACGATTTTTCATACAACAACCATTGCAGCATTTCCATGTTTACATGATCAAAATTCACATGCTTGGCAATTGACTCATACTTAAGACTGCTGCTGTGTCCCAAGGTCATGTAACAAGCAAAGTCAAAAGGGGAAGCCAGATTCACTTAACAACTGTGTTACTATCTTAACAACTGCAGTGATTCACTTAACAGCTATGGCAAGATGGGTCGTAAAATGGGCCAAAACTCACTTAACAACTAAAATTAGCAACAGAACTTTGGGACTCAATTGTGGTTGTAAGTCGAGGACTACTTGTTCTATTGCTAGGTTTTAATGCAATATAGGCAGTGTGATCATGCCTCTTAAATGCAGGTCTGGTAACATTTGAGATTAACATCCAAATAAAGACTCAGTTACATGGCCAAACACCACTCAAGGCACAACTCTCTACATAGTAGAGGAAGTACTTCTTTAATATGTGATCTGATAGTATTAATATGTTGCAGAAATAGCAAATACTGAAGGCACCATCATTGTTTCATAAAAGACAACACTCACAGCCACACAAGCTCATCATGTTCAAATCCTAATTAAAAAAATACTATGCCTCATGTCCATCTGCTCAACAATAGTCATTCACACCGGTAGCTTGAGTGATCAGTATTGCTCTTTCCTACCTTCAATATTCAAAAATGAAGTTTGCTCTGATCAAGAGATAATTTCATATTTTGAGAATCACAGGGAGTTAGCTGGATTCATAAAACAGAGGAAACCAAAACTAAACCATTTCATATTAAAGTTCTGCACAATGTATGAATTGTGAATGTTAAACCATGTCTCATGACCTAATGTGATGTGACTTAAAGGGTTACGAAGAATAATGTGATGTAAGGTGATGGGAGAGGATGGGATATATAATTTCAAAAGGAATTAAAACAAATCATGACTTAAGGCAATACACTAATTACTTAAGGTAATATGAACATGTTGCTGCAGATATATAAAAACAATTATTTGTTTTTTTAAAAGAAACCTGAAATAGAGAAATGATTAGTCTATCAATTAATCATTTAGAGTAATTTCATGATATCTTCAGATATAGAAAAATATTTCCAGTTAATTAGAAAGTCAATATATTTATCAAATGTGCTCACAAAAATTGCCAAATGCACAGCTGATTGTTATATGGTTCAACCAGTGCCAAAATATTTGTGTTACTCAGCACAATATTTTGCACACATAATGAAACTAATTGTATCTCACCAAAGTTCATGAAGATTTCTCCCAAAATGGCAATCTCTCAACATCATGAGTCCTTATGGCCAATCAGAATTACTTCCACCTATACAAAAAGTCATTTCTGCCTATAGGCAGACGTTTGATTTCTTCCTGAACTTTCTCTGACCATTTGGATTCACTGAATCTTAATTTACATAATGTGGAATCTATGTTATGGTATAAATTGCATAGCATTATATAATTGAAATGGCCTAGAAGCCCTGGTAATAAATAAGCAAAAAACAACCTGAAAAATTATTCTACCAAACAAAAGCAGTATTTAAAAACCCCAAAAATATTAAGAGGTTTCTAAATACTCCCAGTTATAATATGAAAGATAAACAGATAATTAAGGAGAGTCACAAGGGAAACAATACCAAATCGAGAAACTAGGCTGAATAAGTAATCATTTGAATCTGATGCTATTTACTAATTGACAGATTTTGCTAAAATGAGGAAATACAATTTTGTAATATTTGATTAGAAAAAAGACAATATGTACATTTATTGGTGCCTGGAAGCCTCTTACGGATTTTTTGTGCAAAAGTGAACTTGTGATTTATGATTTTGATGATTTGATAGATTACAGAGAGTCATGATGTAGTTTAGACAAAGAGGTAAATTTATAAAGTACTTATAACTGATATAAAGAAAATCGTAAGCCACTTCTATCTTTCTTCTTTCTTTGCTTTTTTTCTTCAACTTTTTTATTTTCTTGCACTTTTTGCCATTTCTTTTGTGTTTCTGTATCTTCCTCATTTTATATTAGTTTGTGTTAGCTTTTACTTTTTGTTTATATTTTTTAAATAAAAGTTATATTCAATTTTATATACAACCTATATACAATTATGGCGCTATGCTTCCAAATCCCAATTGGAAGGGAGCAATGGAGGAAGTTTCCCTCTGCTGCTTGCAAAAGAGAAACAATGAGAAACAAATATCCAACCAAAATGGAGGCTGGATTTAGGAAGCCAATTAGTCTATACTGCAGCAGGAGGCTGACCATCTAAATCAGTGGCCCCCAACCTTTTGGGCACTAGGGACCGGTTCTGTGGAGAGAGGTTTTCCGTGGACTGGAGGGGTCGTGGTTTCGTGTGCTGCCTGCATCCCACAGATGGGGCTTCACTTGTTTGCACGAACCGGTTTCTGGCATGCCGCAGACCAGTGCCGGTCGACGGACCAGGGGTTGGGGACTCCTGATCTAAATAGTCATATCTGTGACACCCTAAAAAGAATTGAGTCAATGTCAATAAGGCAAAATGCCATGAGTGTGGTGCATATCATAAGAAATAGAAAAATTACATTACTACTGCTAGTTCATAAAAGGTGCCGAATGAATTATGAGAAGAACACGAAGTAGTACAACCACCAAGCATAGCTCAAAATCATGAAACTGCACACAATTATTTAAAAATACATTCTTTTTGTTTCTGAGTTCAGCGATTCCTTAAATATTGGTTTTTAGGAATATGAATAACGCCAACATTTAAAAAGGGTTTTTCCTTGCACCCAATTGCTATTTACCAAACATCAACTGAGAGTTACTACATGAAATATATACTTTGTAGACTTTATGGTAATGTTTTCCTTTCAAATATTTAATATATAGGCCAGGTTCAAACCTCTGTTAAGCTATGTTTAACCACGGTTTGAATAAGCCACAAGCTAGATGTACATATACCATAAATCTTGGTTTACAAACTACAATGGTTAGATTGCATAACTAGGCTCATGAAACATTCAGAGCCCAATTATAGACAAACACAATATTGAAATAAGGGAAAGTCATGTCCTATTAAAACTCTTGAATCATATGAAGTGTAAAAATGTAAGCATTCAGGAAACTGCCACTTAATCGATAGCTTTAAATGACAATTCATGGGCTCTGTACAATTAGGAAGCAGGACTAAAAGTATAAAAAATTGGCTTTTCAAGAAACAGTCTAAATGGATTCTGGCATCAGGTAACTTTCACTTGTTAAAATACAAACACACACACCAGATTGGATTCACATATTACACTAAATGATGATTTAAGCTAGGACTACCAGATCTGAGCTGCAAAAATCCAGTAGATCACTAGACGAGAGCAAAGAGCTGCAGACAACTCTTACCATTTTGTTGCCATTTAGTGGCCATCCAGATTTGTGCACCCCAAATGTGGTAGCCTCAATTAAGCATGGTTTACTGAATGAGCCCAACTGATTAGGCTCACACATTCTGCCATGCCAAAAACAGGTAAACAACATTGTCTTATGTAATGCCATATGAACCTAGCCACAATTTTATTTTGGAAAATGGTAAGTAAAACTGACCCAATTTCTCCACCTTGAACAATACTGAAAAAAGAACATTCCGCCTTGGCATCTATTTTCAGTTATACTGTTCAGGATAAAGCATCATGTTGGAGATTGGATTTGCTCTAGTGCAGTGGTGGCGAACCTATGGCACGGGTGCCAGAGGCGGCACTCAGAGCCGTCTCTGTGGGCACGCGCGCCGTCACCCCAGTCCTAGGCCTTCAGCTGGGTTTTATAAAACCTTTTCGCTTTAGGCCTCCGCCGCCATGTGCAAAAAAAAAAAAGGTTCAATCAGTCAATTTCAACTTCTCGCGGGAAAAAAAAAGATCTTGCAAAGTTGGAATTGATTGATTGAACTTTTTAGTCCCACCCAGTCTGCCGTTACCACCGCAGCCACGCCCACCCAATGGGCCACACCCACCCAATGGGCCACACCCACCCGGCACCCGACGATGCATAAGTGGGTTTTGGGTTGCAGTTTGGGCACTCAGTCTCTAAAAGGTTCGCCATCACTGCTCTAGTGGACCAAAGTGCATCAGTTCCACTGATATAAGGTGGGGTGCTTCTATTTTACCCATTGGTCTCTCAGACAGATGTGACGACACAACGCTTTGTACTGGCATAGCCCAGACTGTTCCAAGCCCATAGCAGCAGCTTTTCAAAGCGACAAAGGGGGTAAGAAAGGGGGCTAGAAAGTGGTTAAAATCGGGCCTCCGGTCTCCTGCCACAACCAGAGCAGCTATAAGCAAAAGCACAGCCTTCGCAAGTCAAGGCCTTTCTTCAGTCTATTGTCCAGCAAAGGCAGGTGATGGCACTAACCCTGCAAGGTGTAACTTCTCCCTCAAAGTCCCAAAGGTGCTTTTTTTTTTTTCCTTTTTCCAAAAAGGCAACCGGCCTTCGTTTTTGCTTGAAGACGTTTCCCTTCTCGTCCAAGGCACTTCTTCGGTTCTGATTGTCAGAAGTGAAGAAGATCCTTGGATGAGAAGCGAAACGTCTTCAGCGGAAAAAGAAGCACCTTTGGGACAACCATGACCTGGATGACTGAGAAGCTCCCCAGACATTGTCTCTCCAAAGGCCTGCTCAGCTGGCCCGTCCTTTGCGCCGCGGGAAAAGGAGGCCCGGGCACGGATGCTCCCAACCTTCAGGGCCGCGCACCCTGAACGTGGCCAAACGAACCACCCACGGCGGCAAGCGCCGTCCGCCCCCAACCTACCCAGCCTTCTGCCAGCACTTCCGACCTGCCGCGCGAAAAAAGAAGGGCGCAACCTACCCGCACCGGCCTCCCCTCCCCTTGCCACCCACGTGACGGAGGCGAGGGCGAGAGATGAGACGTAAGTAGGCGGAGTTGCAGTATTTACTCCGGACCGGCTTAGACCCGCAGTAGTAATGGAAGAATCTCTTGCTCCTCCCCCCCCCCCCCGATAAAAGGTGGTTCAATCCGATCCCCTTTCTTCCCATTCCCTTTTCGCCAGCTGCGATCCAAAGAATGGGATCAAGTTGCCTTAGCAGTATTGTGTGTCCCTCCGGGTTTGGCGCTGTATGGCAGAAGCCTGACAAGGAAGTGGCCGGTCGGCTTGCTTTGAATGGCGATATATAGAGCCAAGAACGGCAAGTGTTTCCCGCTGGATCTGTGCGGAAGGCATTCCGGCAGGAACAAAAGGTCGACATCTCAACCTTGACAATTTTAAGGCATGTGGACTTCAACTCCCAGAATTCCACAGCCAGCATTGCTGGCTGTGGAATTCTGGGAGTTGAAGTCCACATGCCTTAAAATTGTCAAGGTTGAGAAACACTGGTCTATTGCTCTTAAAAGAGCTTTTTCGGCTTAGCGCCCGCCCTGCTACAAAATGAAGGCCAAGCCTTGGGGAAAAGGTCGGCGCTGGGTCGGAGGAGGCCGCAATGCTCCTGGTTTATTGGGGCTTGCGTGATGTTTTTTTCCGAGCTCTCCTGGGGTATTTCCAGGTTTGTTCCGCCCTGTGAAAGCGCGTGCGATTACATAATTCAATCCTATCTTCATTTATTTCTCAGCAGATAGTGGCATTCGGATGATGTTACCGGAAGTCCAAGGCCTAGCAGTATGGTTAGCTCTGGCTGGGGACCACCCAGGACTCTTGGGGGTGCAGCCTGGAATGGGAAATTGAAAAAAATCATGGAAGAGGGCCAGGGACACAGTGCTTCCCTATTAATGCCTAGAAAACTGCCTGGGAGTGTCCATTTATTTACCAATTGCCAAGTTTATTTTACCACAAATGTAGTTACGGTATTACTTGCTTCAGACAAAAGAGAGATAGAAGTGTGAGAGGTAAAAAGTTTCAAAGAAGGAAATCCCACCCCATATAGTCAGTTTTGTCCTGGGAAGATCTAAAACCAGTCAAGTGACCCATTAAACGTATCTAGACGATTGCACTGACATGCATCATTATGAAATGCTTTGAGAAGCTGATAAAGTACATTATTGCAGGGCTTTTCAACCAGTGGTACCACCTGTGGTACATTGGCACCTGGCAGGTGGTACGCAACCATTCTAGAAAAGTGGTAGCGGCGGAGGGGAATGAGCTGAACAGGTGGCAGCACCGCACAAGCCTGAGCGAGAGATGGCTGGAGTTGCAGGGCTGTCGGCTCAGCGGAAACGCCAGGATCAGCGTCAGGCTCCAGCTGGAGCTCGGCGCTGATCCTGGTGCTTCTGCTGAGCCCTGAAGAAGCACCAATCAGCTGGAAAGCAGCACTGATCCTGGTGCTTCTGCTGAGCCCAGAAGAAGCGCCAATCAGCTGGAATGTTGCAGCATCTCCAGGGTCTTGTGATTTACATTCAGAGGCTTGGCAACTGATTCATATTTATACGGTCACAGTGTCCCAGGGTCATGTGAAGTGACCAAAACCTGCTGCAACCACCCAGCAGACCGGGGGGGGGAACCAAACACCCCCACCCCACCCACGCTGCCAATCCTCAACAGAAATGCTCACAACAATGAAAACCTCAGACAGGAGGAAGAGCGCTCCTGGGCAGGCAGGTAGGTGTCTTGCTCGGCTGTGGCTTGGGGGGCGCTTTTCTCAGTGCCATTGTAACTTTGAACAGTCACTAAGTGAACTGTTGTAAGTCAAGGACTACCTGTACTTTATCACTTTTTTTCTTTTTTGGGTCATCAAGTTTTTGACACCTTGCTAGGCGACTGGTGGTACTCAGCTGTTGCCATATCCTAAAAGTGGTACAATGGGTGAAAAGATTGAAAAGCCCTACATTATTGTATCAAGCCTCCCGCCAGCATTTGACCTGCTTCAGTTTGCTTACCGACCAAATCGCTCTACGGAGGATGCTATTCTATTCTCCATCTGAGCTTGAAGCACTTAGAGGAAAGAAATACTCAGGTGTGTTAGTTGTTTGTCAACTTCAGTTTGGAATTTAACACAATCATTCCCCAGCATCTAGTACACAAACTGGGCCTTTTAGGCTTAAACACTCCTTTGTGCAACTGAATTCTTGATTTTCTCACTAACAGGCCCCAATATGTGCGAGCTGGAACAAATATTTCTAACATCATTTTCTTGAGTGCAGGTTCTCCTCAGGGCTGCATCCTAAACCCAAACATGATTCAGCTGTGGAGATGGTTACCAGCATCGAATTCCTGGATGTGCAGTTAATAAGTAGGCTGGCTTGGTCACTCAACAGCAAGACACTGGTGAAGCGGGCACAGCAACACCTGCATTTTCTATGTCGCATGAGAAAAGCATATCTTCCTTTCCCTATCCTTACCACTTTCTATAGAGGGATGATTGAGAGTATCTTGTCATACAGCATCAGTCTGGTTTAGAAGCATCACTGCTTCAGACAGGAAGGCAGTGCAGTGGTGAGGATAGCTGAAATGAATATTGGCAGTTCCCTCCCTTCCATCCAGGACATAGCATATAAGCTTTGCTTGAGCAGTGTCCACAAGATTGTCTAGGACACTATACACCCTCTTCACAACCTGTTTTCCTTGTTACCTTCTGGGAGGAGGCTCCGTGGTATCCGAAGCAGAGCATCCAGATTCAGTCACAGTTTTGTTCCATACAGTATTAACCTTGTGAACTCTAAAGCTTCCTCCTTCCATTATATATTCAAGATGAACAGTGATTAATATTTATATGTTACTTGTATGTAAGGGTGTAGGTCTATACATATGTTGTATATAGGGTGTTTAAATGTGTGTTATGTATGTGTACATTTTGAGAGCAAGCAACTAAATTTCATTTTTAATGTGTGCCATTGTGCCCACAGTAAAAAATAACAAAGGTTTCTCTCTCTCTCTCTCTCTCTCTCTCTCATCTATCTATCTATCTATCTATCTATCTATCTATCTATCTATCTATCTATCTATCTATCATCTATCTATCTATCCATCCATCCATCCATCCATCCATCCATCCATCCATCCATCCATCCATCCATCCATCCATCTAATCTGTCCCACCAACAGAACTGGAGAAATTGAGCTGCTGAAAAACTACCCTTTTTTGGACTAAATGTTGAATTTGAGCAGTACGGAACACACTTCTCAGACCTTGATTGGCTACATCAGGCATGTCAAACTTGCGATGTCAAGTGATGTCGCGCAACGTATCGGGCCCGTTTTGCCATTGCTGGCAATAGGGTGGGCGCAGCTTTCACATGACATGTTCGGCCATGGGCTGGCAGTTTGACACCTCTGGGCTACATTGATCCAGTAATGCCTGGTCAGTGAAGTGGATGGTAGCAATGTTAAGATTTATCAATACTTTCCTGGTATAGCTCATGGCATACTTCACACTTTCTTGAGAAAATAGATGGGGAGCTCCTGTTCTCAAAATGATAGCTTAAAAAGACTGTAGCTAGAAGCATTAAGAGGGAGATTTGATTATATTAATAGTTGAGTTATGGTGTTATAGGAACAGGGTGGATGTATTCCCCACTCTTCCATAATATTCAGCTTGTCTTACTATCTGGCAAAATCTGATTTAGACTGAATAGCTTTAGTTCGTTATGTGGCTTCTTTGCTTTGAACATTATGTAACCCTGTCCTTGTGATTTATGGTTTGCCACTTTCTTTGAACCTTGGCATTATGATTTCTTCATGAAATCAAGAGCAAAACAACCCATGGCATATCCAGCTTTATATCTCCATGCTGGACCACCCTAATGATGTTATAGAACTTTTGTCCTTGGATGGAGCAGTACACAAATTAACTCATCCCTGAGTGTCTTTCGGTTTTAGAATCTGTCCCTTAGTTCCAGGAATTCTCTATCTCCTGGAGTTGTTTTCACTGCCCCAAATTATCAGTGGGGTTTCACCAACCTGCCTGTGCAATTAGGTAACCTTCTTTCACTCATGGCTGTTTGTGGAACAGATAATGACCATGATCAGGAAAGCCTTTGCACAGCTTCATCTTGTGTGCCAATTGCACCTTTTCCCAGGGGGGAGGAGCTTTGAGCTACCAAAAAGTTATTTTTTTTCATATTCTCCACCCCACTCCACCCAAAAATGTGGTCATCTGTAAGAAACTGGAATGGAAAGCAACTGACTTCTAAATTCATTTAAAATGTGTATTTTGTGCCTAACCATACAAATGCAATCCTTTTGTACAAGAGAGATCTGCTATTTGTAGCAGAATCCATTATAAATGAGACTGCATTCAATTCAATTTAATGAATCACTGGGAGATGGGCCACGCAATAAATTATTTAATCAATTATTGTTGCTGTTATTGGATTTATAGGACACTCTGAATTGCAAGCTAACCTAAATGAATTTGCCAGCTAACCTAAATGAATTTGCAAGCTAACCTAAATGAATTTGATTAAAATGTGGTTGGCTAATTGTGTTCAGTGTTACTATATTCATGTAATGCTTATCCATGATTAATGTAACCATAGCTTAATTAACCCAGTTAATTACATTTCACATAATGTACTGACCATTTATATATAGGGGCTGTGATAACAATTTCTTAATAAACACTCAGGAATCCTTAGAAATCCTATAGGTAGCTTCCCTCACATACTTCATTTTGTTCCAATGCTTGTCATTCAAACCCTGTTTTATTTTGCTTGATTTTCTGTAATAAGCCCAATATTCCACTAGAGGACAGGATGACTATTCATACAATCTAAAATCATTATACTTAAATAATTCAAAAAATACAATTTTTTATTTGACACTCTTAAGAATTATATAAATATATCAGGTAAATTACATCTATCAGTTTAAATGACATCAATCTGATTAACATCTATAATACCTCAAACACATATTTTAAGGACGTTTGTTTTTAAAGGCAGAATATTTACTGATTTGAACACATAGATTAATGTTTAAACAGGTAGTCAATAACAAAACAAATCTAATCTATTAAAACAGCTATTCAAATTTTAATCAGTTTAATCCAAAACATAGTGATAAACAGGCTATTTAGAGTACTTGGGAATTCAAAAGAATTAAAATAATTCATTTAAAGAAAATTGGTTATACTGCAACAATTCTGCTATAAGCATAAGGTAGCTTGGATATAAATACATCTATAACAGTGAATAGGTCTTAATATGTTAAACTACAGGCACATTTTCTAGAAATGTAAAATCCACAGTTCATGAAAACTTTTTCACATCTTGTGTCTTCTCATTAAATTTCCAACTTTGTTCAAGAACACACATGAAAGTTTTTTTGCTGTTAGAAATCCTGTCAGATTTTGTTCAATTTTGTGACTATGAGTACTCTCACAGTCTGGTCGAACGAGCTACAGACACAGAGGCCACGTTTGTCAGGACTCCAGTCAAGACTAGAAATGGGCTGGGTTGATAATGTCACATTCTGTAAAAGGCTAACTGAACCCGCTATTCCCATTTCTGTTCCCTCTGAATCCTTCTTAGAGCGCTGTGCAGGATACTCACTAAAGTAGGGAAAATAAAATGAGTGAGACCACTTTATGAATATGTACAATGCAAATTATTTTATCCTATCTTCCTACATTTTCTCCAAAAGCCCCAGGGTGCCTTCCAAGAGACCTTGCATTTTATCTTCTGAATAACTTTATGGCATGCGTTAGATCAGGGGTAGTCAACCTTGGCTCTTTTATGACTCGTGGACTTCAACTCCCAGAATTCCTGAGCCAGCACAGCTGGCTCAGGAATTCTGGGAGTTGAAGTCCACGAGTCATAAAAGAGCCAAGGTTGACTACCCCTGCGTTAGATCAAAAGAAAGAGGTGTGCTCAAAGAAAAGGCCTGGAGTAGATCTCTCAGTGGTAACTTGCATCTCACTAAGGTCTGCCTGCTTTTTCCTGTTTTGCCCTTTTTAGAGGTGGGGAGGGATTGGCATTATATTATTTTGTACTATTTTTATTCTCTGAGTTCATGTAATATTAATCAATGTTTTGTTTTTTAACTTGTTGCTGTTAGAAACACTTCCTTCAAACTGATTTTTTGTTTTGTCTTTTCATTACTTTAGTGTGTAATTCTATGATTTTGTTCTATTGTAAGTCTGTAAATACTTAGTACTTAGAATAGAATAGAGCTGGAAGGGACCTTGGAGTTCTTCTAGTCCAGCCCCCTGCTCAAGCAGGAGAACCTATACCATCTCAGACAAGTGGCTGTCCAGTCTCTTCTTAAAAACCTCTAGTTTTTAACACCATCTGAAGGCAAGCTGTTCCACTGGTTAATTGTCCTCACTGTTAGGAAGTTTCTCCTTAATTTCAGGTTGTTTCTCTCTTTGTTCAGTTTCCAACCATTGTTTCTTGTCCTGCCCTCTGGTGCTTTGGAGAATAACATGACCCCCTCTTCTTTGTGGCAGCCCCTCAAATACTGGAATATTGCTATCATGTCTCCCCTGTTTCTTCTTTTCTTTAGACTAGCCAGACCCAAGTCCTGCAGCCGTTCTTCGTATGTTTTAGTCTCCAGGCCCCTGATCATCTTGTAATGTAATGTTGTAAGCCTGTACTTCTGTAAGAGGTACAAAATTTGCATCATTCAAAAACATGACTTTGATGGGAAGTAAAATACTTACTATTTCCAGAGATGAAGGTTTCCGGCTCCTCCACTTGTCACAAAGATATCTCTGTTCTGTGGTAAGTGCCGAACTTGCCACACGGTGGATTTGTGAGCCTGACAACAAAATTATGTAACAAAATGAGAGAGAAAATAAAAGAGAAATCTTTTGTAGTTTTCTGAAATCAAGACTCAAGAAAATCAGTAAAGTGAGTGATTAGAATATAGCTAAAATTGTGTTCGTGCCCCAAATCTAGCCTGCAATGTGCAATGACAAACAAGCACGCATTTATCTAATCATTAAGCAGCATGAACCCTTGAGTTCTGAAGTCGTTGTAATTCTGGCAGTCACATGACTGTGCCTAATTCTGTAAAACATAAAGTGATTTTCCCTTACGTTTCCTATTGTTACAGAGAAAATGGAAGTTGGGGGAGTTTCATTTCATGCTTGGTGAAGGAGACAAGACTTTTTATACTTCTTAAGTTCTTTAATACAAAAAGGAGTGAGACAGTTAGGGAGAGGCAGCCAGAGCATGCAAAGAAGGGGCTGATTTCCTGCCTGGGCAAGCTGAGAAGCATCAAGAGTCTCTTTTCCAATTCACAAAGCCCAGGGTGAGTAAGAGAGCATTTTTCTCTCTACAGTTCTTCCGAAAATACAAGGCAATTCAGGATTCATCACAGTTAATTGCTTGATAGCAGGGTTACCTAGCCCAATATGTAAATGCATATTTGACTCTTCTAGGTGGCTCATTCATTTGTAGCACTCCGTCTGGGAGATATTCATCTTATTCAATGTACATTTTTCACACTGACGGCTAGATAGAAATGCAAACATAATCTCCTTTTTCCTGATTAGCTGTGCATCTTGAGATGAATTGTTCTCCACATCTCAAAGGGCTTCTAACCTTATTAGCTAAAAGAAAGAATAATATTCCATTCCATTCTGAATTTAGCTTTGCATGAGACACATATTCCAGGGATTAGGGGATGAGTGCTTATGAATCACCTCCTCTAGCTTCACCACCTCCTTCAATGGCATGTGTCAACAGAACACCTCCCACTATAAATCAGCAATCTCTTTTTAAACAAAATAATTTACCTTCTCTGAAACAGAAGCAAAACCTTTAGTTGGATGCTGAGTTCTCATATCAAAAACATGGAATTTTCCTTCAAGCGACGTAGCTACCAATTTGTTCATATTTATATCTTTCCTGTCAAATTCAACATTGCAGACCTAGAAATTTAAAGCAACCAACCAATAAATTACAACTGAATAACACATTACAAGAAAGAACCGTAATACAATTTATTTAGAAGCACATTCTATCAAGGATGCATAATCTAGACAGAGAATAGCTAGCTCCATCTTTTTCCTCTTCTAGTTCTCTGCTTAGCCCTAATGGAATCAAAGGCCTTTTTAAGTAGAATTATGCAACAAGATTTCACAAAATTTTACACTTCAACAATATTTCTGAATTTCCCATTGAATAGTATCATTGAAAGTGAGACACTACTTTTTTCATGTTTATTGTAAAGAATATTTGGGCTGGCATAATTATCGTTCCATTACAGATTGACCACACTGCTAGTCTAATAGTCGGGTAAAACAAACTGATTAACTAACAAACAAAAACTCTAAAATGTTACCCATCCCCACAGAATTACTAAGATTTGTGAAGAAAAATTGTGAAGAAAAAAAAGTCTAACCAACCCCATTCTTAATGTTGGTTTCCCATCGTAATGTCATATTCCTAAGGTCAAACAGCTTGATGTCCCCATTGTCATAGCCAGCACATACAACCCGTTCTTCTTCTAACATACGTAACGGATTAATTTTATTCTACTGTCATAACTCTATTTATTAGTTGTTATTGGTTTGTAATAAGATTGTTAGGACATAAACATGTGGTCAAAATTCCTTTATATAAACATGATTTTGTCAAAACGTTACTCTATCTATTTAGTAAAATAAAGTCTTTTATATCGTAATTTCGTTTTCATAGTTTAACAAATTTTAAACAAGATATTAATGCACTTATTTTCTGCCTCTGAAAAACAGGATTTGAGTATTTAAACTGGTTATTATTATTATTAATAATAATAATAATAATAATAATAATAATAATAATAATAATGCTGTCTAATATCAAACTGGCTATCTGATATCAAACTGGCTGTTTGATACTGGAGAAGATTAAAAGCAATAGGTTGATGCCTGATTTCTAGAGGAATAATTTTATGGTCTGCATTTCAAACAAAATTTTCAATTTTCCCTAATAATTCCTATCTTCTTTCTGTGTCAGAGCAACTGAAAAAAGGAATATTGTGATATTCAGTAATACTGTGAATATGAAAATCATTCTGAAGAAATGCTTCAGAACATGCATAAACACAGTGTATTGTTTCAATATAGCACAAAGTTCCGCACACAAATGTGTGCATCTCAAAACCTCTCAACAGTGTTTTTAGGTTTTGAAGCCTGAAAACAGGCTGTTTTAATGAATATTAGAGAAATATTACATTTGTGTAAGAACCTAAAGACTTTTTCCCATTTTTTTAAAGTGCAAACAACCATTCAGAAAATAAAGTAATGGGGAAACAAGATAAATTCCATGACCAATTTCTACATGGCATGAACAGGTTAGAAACTCAGACCTACCAAACGCAACTGTCCAACAATCTCTTGTACTCTCTCCTTGTGCTGGCTCCATATTGGCAACAGGAAAATCTTTTTGTCTCGGGTCCCAGACTTTCACTGTCCCTGCAACCATCACATAAATTTGTATTTATTCTTCTACATCACGCTTGCAGCTTGCTTTTGAGAAACCATCATGCATGTACACGCAGAGTTATCTATCTGTGTGTAAAAGTCTTTTGAATTTAGTTCAGCCCCTGGTGACTTCACAAATGAATCCATGTAGTTTTCTTGGCAACAGTATAAACGCAGATTACCATTTTGCTTTCTACAACTTATATGCCTCTTCATTTCCAAAAATTATCAATAACTGACAATATTACTAGTAAAAGATAACATTTTAGTCAGTCTGATGTGCCAACATGTTAGCATGATCATATTCATCCTCAAATGTCTTTCTGAAGAGCCATGTTTCTATAATTCCTTCTGACTGAAGACAGGTCAGAGGTCCCTCCTTCCTGCAGAGGTTTATGCGGCCATGGAAACCAGAGCATGACCTGTCTATTACAAAGAACTAATGCAATGTCCTGTCTTCAGATTATATGTTAGTTGGTTGAAGACACAAATTAGATCTAATGTGAGGCTGCTTACATGAATTGAGCCTATGTTCACCTGGGTAGGACAAGCTCATGGTTACCCTGGTGGCCCTGAACCCCATCTTCCCTTCCCAGGAAGGGTAAGTTGATGCCCAAAAGCAAAAATATAAGGAAATCCTTTACCTTGGGATCATATATGAAATTGAGCTATGCACACCTCTGAATATTTCCCTGCCTCATCCATATGGTTTTAGTAATATTGGTTGTTACCTTCTTTGGGGAGCTTTTTCAGCTTCACAGGCTAGCCTATAGTTCACGTATTTCCCAGAATTTCTCTATTCAAGGACTAGCTAGATCTGAAAGTTTTTATCCCCAAAGTCAGCCAAATACTACCAGCTTAAACATACTTTATAAATCAGTTTTAGACTTTTGTAATTGACTTATTTTGTGTTCCTCTTTTTTTATTTCATACATGTAGCTATCAGTTTGTTCCAGCTCTCTAATGACTTATGTGAAAATGCTGTTCGATGGAGACTCAAAATAGAACATACAGCATATGTAGATCTTATTGCAGAATCTTGTAACCATATCATATGGCAACTGAGGACTCTCACATGGAAAAAAGCTGGCATATAATGCTGTTACCAAGTTTATGTGAGTGAAAAATGTTTATGAAATGTCAGGCATAAACTGGAATGATCAGCCAATTTAATCTGCTGATTGTTCTTTTTCAATTCTTCAGAATCTGCTGGATTAAAAATAAATTTGTAGCTTGTTATCACTAATATTCCACAAAAATATTTGCTTGTTTAATAAATGTGATAATAGTGATAACTCAATTTCACAGGAAAAAACCCTTTATAAGGTAAGGTCATACTTTTAAAATTCTCTAAATACAAGTATTNAATTTAATCTGCTGATTGTTCTTTTTCAATTCTTCAGAATCTGCTGGATTAAAAATAAATTTGTAGCTTGTTATCACTAATATTCCACAAAAATATTTGCTTGTTTAATAAATGTGATAATAGTGATAACTCAATTTCACAGGAAAAAACCCTTTATAAGGTAAGGTCATACTTTTAAAATTCTCTAAATACAAGTATTCCTTGATTTACAACCATTTGTTTAAAGACTGAAGTTACAATAGTGATGAAAAAAATGTCTTATGACCAGTCCTCAAACTTACGACTATTGCAATGTTCCCACAGTTACTTGATCAAAATTTGGGTGCTTGGATGATGGAAAAAAAAACATAAGGAACTCATCACCATATATTATCCATTCAATTTAAAGCTAAAATGATCTTAAATTTAAAATCAAAGCTAATTCATAATGCAGATTTTTACAGATTTAAATTATCAGTATCCTATTCTAACCTACTTCCCTTGTTCTCTCCTTTGAGGATATTGCAAGACGACTAACTTACCATCACGACTTCCTGTCACAATTTCTGGAGCTCCTTCACCAATTCCCAAACCACCAACTCCATCAATGCTATTTATGATTTCTTTATGCCCCTTCACAGAATATACTGGTATTTCTGGAGCTTCCAAATTCCTAAACAGCAGAAATGGAACTGTTATTTTATGTGTGTTCATAAACATCTCCTTCATATAGAGTTCATCTCTTGATGACTATATGGATACCACACTTTTCTTGATGCCAGTATGGAAGTAGTTTGTCATTCTCATCTTTTAGAAAGTTTTACAATTTCCTAATTTGACCTATTGCAAATTACATTTCCTGGTAGTCCATAAAATCTACTACTACCCAACCCAAGATCAAAACATGTATTTATATTTCTCAGTAAATCTCTTTAGAAATGTAACATTCAATACTCAAAATATAATTAGTACAGCTATGCATTAGAAAATAATTCTGCAGATGTGTTTCTGTCCTCCTGAGGTCACATCACATCTCTATTATTCATTAATAGCCTGGGGTTCCCCCCCCCAGAATTTCACATAAGTTCAGAGAAAAGATGCACCTCCTTTAAGGAATCAATTTATTAAAGTTAATATAATTGTTAAAGTAACCACATTTTTAAGAATCACGTAGAAACTTTCAAAAAGACAAGATTGCTTTTACTGAGTAGCAGAGAAATGTCTTTGCAAAAGATTCAAAGTGCTTCTGAACTATTTTTAACGTGTAAGTCTAAAAACTAGGCTCATCTATTCATACATGGCACACCAGTCATCAAATTGATACCTAGTGCCATTTATAAATTTTCTGATGAGAGAACCAATGGCAAGGTAGTATCAGTTGCAGAATACAGAATTCTCATTTATCTTTACTACATAGAAAACTGAATACTAACATGAAGTTTTTTTCTTCTTTAAAACATGACAGAAGTCAAAAGAAAATATGTGTTATTACCCTCATGATGCAAAATGGAAAGATATAAAATTATAATTGTTACAATGCGGAGTTTTTAAAAAAATGTTTTTACAAACATTTATTATATAAATAGTCCTTGACATATGACCATAATGGAGCCTACCCATTACAATCACATGTTACAACTGTCATAAATCAGTTCGGTCATGTCACCAACCCAATTTTACAACTGTTTTTGCAGTGGTCAGTAACCAAACACAGCAGGCATAAAAGGAACACTACAGTATTAAATGAACACTGTGGTCATTAATCAAGCCATTATTGACTATGGAACAGTTTTGCTAGAACTCGGAAGTTACTTCTGATTTTTAGCAAAACCATTGTAAAATGCAGTTATGTGACCCCAGGATGCTGCAAATGGGTGTAAATGCAGCCATGCTGTGGAGCGCTCAAAGTGTGGACATGTGATGGGGAGGAGCAGGAGGAGCAGAACTGAGTCATAACCCCTGTTTTGCAAGTAGGTTGCCATTCTGAACGATCGCTAAGTGATCAACTATAAATCAGGACTATCTGTACTGAATCACAGATTGGTCTAAAAATTAGCCTGGGCTTTAAAATATATTTTATAATTGACGCTGGAAGATTCAGAAAAAGAAAACCAAAAAAGATAGTAAAGTTAATTCAGCCTTCTTCAAAGTAAATGTTTTATTGCTGTCTAAAAACCTAACACTTCTAAATTAAGAATATTTAAGACAGTGAACAATATTGATTTTACAGTGACTTTAAATTGTCAAATAAGAGATACATCCATGTCTTTAAAATTTGCAAAATGAACATTTCTTACCATATATTTAAATTTCCACCAAAATCTCCAGTAGCTAAGTATCTTTGTTGCAAAGAAGCAGCCCCAAAGGTTCCACATTTAATAGGACGTGATTTTTCAATCTGGAAGTAGAGATAAATGTTTACACTGAATGATTATTATTTTCAATGTATATCTTGTTTTATCTGTTAGAACATATTCTACATATTAGAATCAAATATTGACTGAACACAATTTTTCACCTCCATTAGGGTTCAAGTGAATGAACAGATTTGACTTCATAGTTTTTGGGGAAGAATTCCAAATAAGTCAAAGAAGATTATCATTGCAAAGGCATAAAGAATACCTCTCCCATGCACTTTCTCCTTTATTTTCTCCAATTGAATGTATCTACAAATTGTTAACCTAGTACTTTCTAGATGCATAATCTAAATGCATAATCTAAATAGACATGAAAAATTAGAAGTCGCCATTCACATTAGTGTGAAGTCATTTTTTAATTGCAATTCGTATCTCAAGCTTTTAAATATAGGTAAGTCCTCAACTTACAACCATTCATTTAGTGACTGTTCGATGTTATGCCACGGAAAAAAGTGACGTCTGACCAGTTTTCACACTTATGACCATTGTAGCATCCCTATGGTCATGTGATCAAAATTTGGACACTTGGCAACTGGCATGTATTTATGATGGGTTGCAATGTACCAGGTTCATGTGATCATGGTTTGCAACTTTGACAAACAAAGTCAGTGAGGAAGCCAGAATCATTTAACAACCATGTCACTAACTTAACTGCTATCTTTCATTTAAGAACTGTGGCAAGAAAGGTCGTACAATGGGGCAAATCTCACTTAACTGCCTCGCTTAGCAATGGAAATTTTGGGCTTAACTGTGGTTGTAAATGGAGGGCTACTTGTACATCCCTTACAAATCATACATGTGTTTAATAGAACTAATATATATAAATTTATACACAGAAAGATTTAAAGATACCATTAAATTCAGAATGACCAACATTCAAATTTGCCAGATCCATAAAATGCAATTTCTTTACAGAAAATCAAATTAAAATGCATTTTTTCTATAACTTTTGAGCCAAGATGAACTCTTTCTGTAAAAACATGCAATTATATTTATTCTCTTCGCATTTTGCCTCATCTTTACAATCCCACTTCATATGGGCAACTTCATCTATTTCTTTTTTCCCTAACCTTCCATTTAGTATGTGTTTGTAGACGATTGGGTTTTTTTAAAAAAAAGAAGTCCACAAAAAAAATAGATATAGCACACACTTTCCCTGTCCCCACATTTCCTATAAGACAGAGGTCCTCAATCTTTTGGGCACCAGGAACCGGTTACGTGGAGAGGTTTTTCCGCGGACAGGAGGGGGCGTGGTTTTGTGTGCTGCCTGCATCCTGCGGATGGGGATTTCCTTGCTAGTGCGGCCCGGTTACTGGCATGCCGCAGCCCGGTAATGGTCCATGGACCAGGGGCTGGGGACCCCTGCTTTAAGATATATACTAATATACTGTGCTTTTCCACATACTTTTCTTCACAGCCAGTATATTTTGCATGCACTTCCGTTGCAAACAGAACTTTGCATTAAACTAATTAATTTAGCCTGTCCAGCTAGTTTACAGAAGATATACTGTATGTAGATCTTCTAAAGAACGTTTCACTTCAAAGTAGATATGCCCTGTTTCAACTCTCTGCCAACAATTCATTAATGCCATTCATGGTGATCCATTCATATTAAAAAAAACACCTTCTTTATAGATAAAATATGCTTCTTTTTAGAAAGAAATATTAAAACCAAAACCTAATTTCATTTTCCCTGAAATGGGAAAAAATGAAGTGTTTGCCCCTTGTGAGGATTTAATCATTGTACGTTATACTCTACAAAGTCAATCTGTACTATAGAAAAGAATAAAACCAATGGGTTGTGCATCTCTTGCAGTGCTATGGCTACAGTAATTAACTGCACTATGTTTGGTGGACTGCTATGTATACTAGACCAGTTAATGCCTATTTCCATGGTGAGCACTGTGGCATTCTTTATTACTCATTTCTTAACACGTGACTCTCTAATATACTGCTTTGCCAAATACTGGGTGCTGACATAGCTAGAAGATACTAATGCCAATACAAGTAGTCCTTCTGGACTTATGACCACAATTGAGCCCAAGATTTATGTTACTAAGACAGTTGTTAAGTGAGTTTTGCCCCATTTTGCAGTTGTTAGGTTAGTAACATGGCTATTAAGTGGCTTCCTACTTGATTTTGCTCGTTAGAAGGTCACAAAAATCATATGACACCAGGATACTACATGTGTCGTAAATATGAACCAGTTGCCAAGGGTCCAAATTTTGATCACATAACTATGGGAATGCTGCAATGATTGTAAGTATGAAAAATGGTTATAAGTCACTTTTTCAATGCCATTGTAACTTTGAATGGACACTAAATGAATGGCTGTTAAGTTGAGAACTAATTGGATATATTTCTTCATGATTTGTTCTAAGATGCTGTTGCATGTATTCTGTTAACTGGAATTGAAGCTTCTTAATTAAAAGATTAATATTGAAATGATCAATATTAATTAAGCTGTTTTCCTACTCATCTTCTGCATTCATTTGCATCTTGCTTCTGACTCTGTACAAATGCTACACTGCAATTAATGCCAGTGGAAGCAAACTCCAGGCATTCTACTTGTAAGAAAATGAATGTGGGCCCCCCAACATAGGGCAATCTTTACTAAGTACACAAAGAGTGACAGAAGCCAATTCCTGATGTCACTTCTTGATAAACATGTAATTCACACAAGACCTCAATCCTGAGATCTCATTTTATGAATGGTAAAAACCCATTAAAGGACTCTGTGTCAGTATCAGACACATACAGGAAAATCACATTTGGACACCATTCAAGAGGCAATAAAAAAGGAAACAAAAAGACCAGGTTGCATCCTCTACACTACAGCAACCCACACTTAGATAAGCAGGGATTAACATTAGACAAGCAATAAAGCAAAAAAATAATAATATTCTAATCAAGGAACTACCAAAGAGAAAAACACATTCCACCAACTCTAGCAGGGCATGCTATTGTACATGAAAAGGGAGCAAACTGCAGACTCAGGACTAGCACTGATGATGTTACCTAGTTGGGTAATGAAACGGCTGCGTGCAAACAACCAAGCCCAGAGAGCACAACACTTGTAGTTCAACCCTGAGCTACACATATTCTTTTCTATTGGAATTACGGTATCAGCCCTCGATCTCAGTCGGCAGAAAACTTAGGGAACCCACGGCTGAGCTTCCACTTAAGCCCAGGAACGTATCCTGTGGCCCATGCCAAATTAGCACCGTGGTTGCTAAGTATATAGCAACTCCTGGGAGTGAGGCTGGTATTCGTGGGCTTCTTGCTGCTCCTGTGGGAGAACCGGGGCTGCAGCCCGGTGCGTTCTCTTCCTTACTTCGCGGAGGAGGTTGAGGCGGCCGCCCTGCAGCTCGTAGAGCTGAATGACGCCGGTGCCGCGCGGGAAATTGCCCAAGCAAAGAAGGCGAGCGCTGCAGGGCACCCATTTGCAATCGAAGACAGTGTAATTCAAGCTGTGTTGTGTATGCGCGATGATCTGCGGCTTCTCCAGCAAGCCTCCTGCCGACATGACAGCAAGAACCCGCCCCTGAGCCCAACGGCACCCGACGGGGCCTGAAACTGCGCCACCACCCTCCCCTTACTCAGCGTCTCCGCGCATGCGCAGGCGACGGAGAGGTCACACATCCGGTATACTAGATCATAGAGATTCAGAGGGTGTTGTTGACCCGTACTCCTTTTTTGCGCAGCACCGCAATCCCTTTCCACCTGAAACCCACTGGCAGGGCGCTAGAGGAGCAAGGCCAGGCCTTCGCTCTCTCTATAGGGCGGGGAAAGAGAGCGCGATGTCCAACCATAGAGTGCGAAGTGGAGGAACGGGAAGGCTTCTATCGGCTGTCTTGCGTGGCCCGAGACGTAGCCCCGCCTCTTCCGGTCAATATCGTGTTAGATAAGGCCGGCCAAGCGTGGAGATGGAAAGCGCTGGCGCAGAGCGGCTGCCGCTGCCTCCGACAGAGATGGAAACACAAACTCACCAAGAAGGCTTCACGAAGGTCCTCAAGCGGAAGAGGCGCCGGGAGCCCCAGATGGACACGAACGAGAGCCCGGTGCCTAGGAAGCGGCCGGATTTCCCTCCTCTTAGCGGGGAAGCCCTCGCCGTAAGTGACTCCAGTTGCTCCAGTTGCGTGGCTGCGCTGGGCTGGCCGAAGTAGAAAAGGGTCACCGGGAATCGTTCCTCAATGCCTGGGCGCAGATTACGTTTTCCCCTCCCAGCCTGGCGTTTCTCGAGGAAAGGCATATGGCGTTTTGCAATGCAAATGGCAAGCAGGCGCCTTAAGCTGCGGGTGTTTCAGGACCAAGTTTATACTACATTCCAGTAGTAACCCGTATGTGGCTTACTCTCGTTTTAAGCGCAAATGTAATCGTCAGGTCGATTTATTATAAATATATTGTGGGTGGGTGGGTCCATCTCAGTGTTTCTCAACCTTGACAATTTTAAGGCATGTGGACTTCAACTCCCAGAATTCCACAGCCAGCATTGCTTGTTTCTCAACCTTGACAATTTTAAGGCATGTGGACTTCAACTCCCAGAATTCCACAGGCAGCATTGCTGGCTGTGGAATTCTGGGAGTTGAAGTCCACATGCCTTAAAATTGTCAAGGTTGAGAAACACTGTTCTATCTGAACGTAGGCATCCCCGTCTTTCCGTTCCTCGCTTTGGTGTTCATTCTGAGAAGAAAAAGCTATTTTGGTGGAAGTCAAAATCAAGTTTCAAGCAAGGTCTTAGTACTGAGATAAGTCTTGGTCGCACTTGTCAATGACCTGTAGCAGAGCCGGGATGGCAGTGGTGCATCCACTCTTGTTCCCCTGTACAGTTCTCCCTTCCTTGGTTGGGGGAGGCAGGGTGGATGTTGAGATGGGTCAGTCATTGCTCTGGAGAGGCATCTTATGGCTTAGGTACTGCAATGCAGTCTACATCTGGCTGCCCTTGAAAACCTGTTGGAAGCTTCAACTGGTCCAAAATGCAGTGGCACAAGTAGTGATGGGCCTGCCTCCGTATGCCCAGGTAACACCTCTGACTTGTGAGTTGCACTGATTGCCAGTTTGCTTCCTGGTGCAAAATAAAAGCAACGGATTTTTACCATTTTATGCTGCTTTAGCTTCTCTAACAAATTTGTTTGATCCTTAGTATACTGTTATAGGTGACTGAGTTGTATATAGAAATCAGGATTTTTATTAGATCTGTATAAGATGGACATCAGTTTTTAGTAACAAAAATCAGAAGGAATCTGATGCAGTCGGAATAATAGACTAACGCTAGCATAAATTAACACAGCTCTTTTCTAATTTTGAATAGGTAGAACTTGAGAGGCAAGAATCTCTAATGCAGTGTTTCTCAACCTTGACAATTTTAAGGCATGTGGACTTCAACTCCCAGAATTCCACAGCCAGCATGCCTTAAAATTGTCAAGGTTGAGAAACACTGCTCTAATGTATCTAATATTAGAAAAAAAACTAATATTTTCTGTAGTTTATTGTATGTAAACTGAGTTAAACTAAATGCATGGAATAATTTTATTTGCTGAACATTTTATTATGTGATGGTTACTATTTTTTCTAGTTTGGAAAAGGTGAATTGAGAAAAATTCCTGTACCAGCAAACAGATATACTCCTTTGAAAGAGAACTGGATGAAAATTTTTACACCAATTGTAGAACATTTGCAGCTTCAAATTAGATTTAACTTAAAAACAAGGAATGTAGAGATAAAGGTAAATTGTAAGTCTACTGTTTTTGAAAAGTTAATGTCTTGTATTTGTGTTTGCTGTTAGAAAAAATCACTCCTAAATTTCTTTTTGGCATTAGAAATAATATTTTGTTAAAACAATTTATCAGCTTAATGTTTTGGCAGTAAGCCATAATAAGCCTTATTAATTTGGTCAATAAAAATTCCAAATAATTTACTTATATTTATTCCAATGAAATAAATATTTCTTCAACTATAAATAGATAAGTCAAATGTGCATTGTTTAAATAAGAGCAGATCTTTCACAAGGGGAACTATTTATCTGGTTGCCACCCAGAACATGTTGCAGATTTGATAGTAGCAAATTATATTGCAATTATACTTGGATGCCACTGGCATGGCTAAACAGAAATTTCCCCCTTCTGTTTTTGTCCTCGGTAAATGAAGAGTAGATCAATGTGTTGGTTCACAACTTCATTAATTATTTTGGCCTAGGGATACTTGACAGCTATTTTTGAATCTGTAAAGAATGCTTTAATAATTAGTTCTATTAATTTCAGAAAATGCTGGTTTGTTAAAATAGCATTTTAGATCCCAGTTATTAAAATTGGAAATGTCAGTTCTAAATGGTTTGAAATTAATGTATCAATTCATTTTAGGCAACCACAATGTAGAATATGATTATAATTCTTCCTATACAGATTTGAAGTTTTTTTTTAATTTATTTATTAGCACTGTCAAATTAGCTTTATATAATAGAAGCAATAGAATATTGTGTTAATAGAATCTTTTAAATTAATATTTAGAATTAATTGGATTAAATATTTAGAGTAGATTGTGGTGCTTTATGTAATATTTTATGAATCTTCCAAAGGATCACTTCCTAAATTGTAAAACTTATTTTATTTTCTAGACTTGTAAAGAAACAAAAGACATAGGTGCTTTGACAAAAGCAGCTGATTTTGTAAAAGCTTTTATACTAGGATTTCAAGTTGAGGTAAGCTCTTGTCTACTGTAGTTCACTTCATTGTATGAAATGAAAAGATCTAAGAAGTGTTTTCCATACGGGGTTGGGGAAGAATTTTGTTCTTTTTGGATAATTAGCCGAGGGATTTAATACTTTGTGAGCCCAGTTGCTGAATCTGTACCATGTACCGTGAGCATACGCAAATAAATTGGGAAACAGTCTGGAATGAATTTTGAGATGGTAAAACCCATGGGTTAAGAACATTTTAATTGACAGATAATTTCCTGCCAATTTATGACTTGCAGAATTATGTAGTGGTATGTATTCTTTGAAGTATTTGTATAAGTGTGCATATTAGGAACTTAGTACTATTGTCCATTATTTCAGATTTCTAGCCAATTATTTTATTATGTTTTGGTAATGCAAAGCCAGAGAATCCATATGCTATGGTGACTTACTAGTGACTGTTCTTGATCCTGTATTTTTAAAAGTCAGTTATTTTTTTTTAAATGCTGTTTTTTTCAGGATGCACTTGCATTGATCAGATTAGATGAGCTTTTTCTAGAATCATTTGAAGTAACAGATGGTAAGTATGGAAATCAGTATAAGATATCAAAAGAGCAGAACATAAATGGGTATTGGGATGTGAAATACATATAGTTAAGAACTGTTATTCATTGATAGGAATACATCAAAGCCTGAAATAGCCTCTGAAAATAATTTTGAAACATGTAATTCACAGCGTTTGGTCTGAAAGATAATTTCCCACCGATTAATTTTTTAGTTGAACTATTTCTCAGTTAAAACTGCCAGCCTTTATTTGTAACTGCTAACGTGTCTTGTGGATTTCAAAAGATATGTTAAAATTGTAAAAGATCAACTATTGTGGAATGTCACTGTTAGGCCTTCTGCTGAGTTATCATGAGAATCTTTAATGCAGATTGAACAGCAAAAGCATTGTTAGAGAGATGTTACTAACTAATTATGATTTGTGATTAGAGTTGTATAATTTTTTTCTAGTTTCAGCACTCTCAAAACAAATTTGTTGTTTCTATGTGTAGATATTTCTAAATGTTATTTGTTAGCAGATTTTCTATACCAACTAAGATTTGGGTTTCATTTCTGTGGATTGCCTTGTTTCATCAGTGTACCTGAGAGAAAGTGTTGAGAAAATGGTAGAATCCTGTCATCTTAATTCTTGTATTATTGCTTATCAGCATGGCCCATTAAAATGTGGGGGGAATAGGGGGTAAAACTTTGTGAATCTTTTTGAAATATATATTTTAAAAAATTAACTGGTTCTCACTTGACTGTTAAGTCTCACACTTACTCAGATTTAGCAATCACGATTCATTGGACTCCAACATGAACAAATAAAGCCCAGGGAAGTGGTAAATAAATAATTGAAACAGAGTTTTCTCTTTAGTCAAACCTTTAAAAGGAGATCATCTTTCAAGAGCAATAGGAAGAATTGCTGGAAAAGGCGGAAAAACCAAATTTACTATTGAAAATGTAACAAGGACGCGAATAGTTCTTGCAGATTCGTAAGTATTATAGAGTTCCCACCTTTTTAAAATTTTGAACCTTGGCTAATAAACTTCCAGGTTTTAGTGTAATAGTCCTTTGTATTTTTAAGCAATTGCAGAATCCCATTTATAATTTTGCCATGCTTATTATACATGCTGGATATATTAAAACTGAATCTTCAGTTTATTGGATCCTACTGATAAATTCCCAGGAATAAGACACTTTACAGTGTATCTTCTGGCTGAAAGTAGTATATATACAAATTGATAATGCTGGCATGCATTGCTTGTGACAGCAGATGAAGCCTCTATATATGCTATATTGTTATTACTCATATAATGATAATGCCTGGATTTGATTGGCTCAGAGATTTCAAAAATATTCAAGCTGTCAAGATTTC